CCGGACATGTCCGGGAAAAACCGGATGTATGGTAACCCTAAATTTGATTACATTAACATAGCACTTTTCAAATAATCTTCAGTAATTAAATCTGTAGACAGTTATAAAACATGTATCATACTGAATACTTAACCCAAATAAGTTTAGTATAGTTCAGAGCATTGTGATGCAAGGTATACAAATTGAGAATTCTGGTCCTTTTTTGACTTCCTCAAATCCCTGGACTCGATATTAAAAGTTAATAATGCCGTTATAGCAAAGAAAATGTGTCTGGCTATCCTGGGGGTACGTTTGGAAGAAATTTAACTTGTCTCAGTGGTTTGAGATGGGAGGATTTTATTTGTGGAAGATAAGAAGTGTGGGTGTTAGTGTGTTGAAGGGGAACTCATTTTTGGGGCAAGGTGGAAAACTTCAATTGGCATGCTTGTACATCTTTTTTTTTAAATGTATAGCTCAAACTTTGGCTAGGAGCTTAATAAATTGAAATAAAGGGGCTGCCTCTATGGATTGAGGCATAATCCAGACATAGCTATAAGAATATTATAATTTCAGCAGTTATTTCTTAGATTTTTATAAGGGGAGGGGGATTTTTATCTATTAGAGGTTGAATAGGTCAGTACAGTTCTCTCAAACATTTACTCACAAAACAGTTACATTCAGAAACATTTTTAAATGTTTCTCTTAATTTATTAGTAGACATTATCTAAAGGCATTCTGCATTAGCACATATTTCAGATTTTGAAGGCATGAAATGACAGAGATAGCAAATTTACACTGAAAAGCTCCAAAAAGGCTAGAAAACAAAGGTACATGTTGACAATTTTGTTATGGTCTGAAAACAAAGAAAAATAATTTTATATTGTCCTGTATCAAAACATTTTATAGCAAGCAGTAGCTGAACATATATGCTTTAGAGTTTGATACTGTACATAGCAACATTTGGGCTTCCCTTTATCTGTACAATAGATAGCTGCAGTTATAAATACATATATTTATATATAGTATAAACGCTATAAATATATATATTTAAGATGTGGATGGGTGTGTATATTTATGATAGGAGATGCTGGTAGCAATCCCCGTATTTAGGTTACCTAACATTTCCATTATAATATATGCAATCTAGTTACAGTGTGCGGAGAGAGATTGAAAAGATGCAGCGATAAGGGGAAATGATACTGAGTGGGATTTAAGTGTCAATTTTAGGCTAACAGAAACAATGATTTCAAGGTTAGTTCTGATGAAACAAAGTAGTTCAGGAGTGAGTTCCCAAATAAACAGAGAAGTGCGTGTTTAAAAGCAATAATCAACTATAAAGAGTTGCAGAAGAGAGATAAAATGCCAATTTTTTAGGAACATTGTGAACAAGTGGGAAAATGAATAGGAATATGTTTAATGTGAGAGACTAGGGAACCCATGGAAAATTCTGAAAGCCAGAAGATTAAATCAGACTTGATTGCAAGGATGAATGAAACAATCTTCCTGGAGCAAGACAGTTTGGCTTTGTTATTCTGACCCTCTGAAGTTAAGAAATCAAAGAATTTAGGAAAGATGGTAGTTTGTCATAACAGAAAATAACTAAAGTGTAAATATGAATTTCAGCAACTGCAGATTAAAGTTCAGACATCCTGGAAGGAAGAGGGGGGAAAAAAAGAAGAGGAAAATTAAGGACACTACTAAAGATGGTAGTTGGAAGAACAAGTGGAAAGTTATAACGACTCCATCAGAAATGAAAGCAGCAAATAGAAAGGTAGGATTCCACCAAGGAATGCAGAAATCTGGAAACTTGTCATAACTACATTTAAGAAACCTGGTTCATTAATATAGAACTTAGTACAGTAAATGTTATTTTCTGAGATAATGGGGATGCTTTGGCTTCCATTTTCTAAATGTTTACCCTATATGTGATCTCCTATTTTCCCAATATTCTGTGATCTCTCTTCTCACCTTTGAGGCCTTCAAACTTATTGATTTTCCAAGTCTCATTGGTCAATTTACTCCCCTCACAGCTCAAAACCAACAAAAGGTCAAATGTGAGAGAGACTATCTTAAAAACAGGACAGAGACTCAACATGAGGAACACAACCAAAACATCATGTACTGCAGGAAATTGCAACAGGATGCCTGACTTTACAATGTATACATTCCTCTGCAACTTCAAAATGTTGCCTCTAATGTCTCATTACAGAATTAAACTGAGATAATATTAAATGTATATGGCATTGACATAATTTGGAGCATGAAACAACTGACAACTTTCAATTGTGTACCTTTCATAAGTTGATTCCCTTATTTTCAACAATCCTCTCCACAAGATCTGTTCCCCACTTTTTAGTCTTTGCCCTATTTTAAGCTTTCTTCGAATGGTTAACCTTTTTTCCTTAATGTGAACCTTTTGCTTATAGGCAATTACCCTGTCCTCCTTTTAACATCTTCTGCTTCCTGTTTTTCTAGTTAACAATTTGAATCTCTTTCTAAAATCACAAATATGTGATAATTCTCTCCTAATTATAAAACATCTCTCTTCCTTTGCAGATCATTCCTGAAGGTGGTGGCATGATGAAATCCTCATTGCTCTTTCACCAATATATGCTGAAAATATAAAGAAGAAACCTTTTCATTCACTGATTGGGATTCTCCAGTTAATCTACTTACTTGTGTACAACAGTTCCCAATTCTTCAACAGAGTTTCCATTTAAAAGAATATCCATTTTGACAAGGTCTGCTGCCTGGTATCCTGCATCTTCATAATCAAAACTAAAGGGGGAAAAAAATAAAAGTCAACTTCAACCTTGTAATTGATACTATATTCTCTACTCCAGGAATCCTTTAGGCTTTTAGCATTTGTTTTATATACACGTTTTAATAAAACACTTAGATTTTCATTACAGGAGGGGTACTGCCATTTTTGAATGTATTTTAGTAAATCTGTTCTCTCTCCAAAACTGAATTATAAGTACACTGTGGGAAAAAGCTTGCTCTAAAACACAGGCAGACAGCACCCTTTCTTCTAGCTACTCAGCAGGGGTTAGTCAGGACCCACCATCCCCACTGGATTCTCTAGGAGCCACTCAGGGATACCAGATTCCTTCCCACCAAGCCAACATGAGGGCAGCAGTGTGAGGAGCTTCTTTAGACCAACCTTAAAACCTCAGCTCTTGAAGCTTCCCCTCCAAGTTGCTGCAACAGAGTCTTTATACATTCTGATGTCATGAGAATCTTAAACCTCAAAACAAACTCTGAAATGGTTTTTATATGCACTCCATTTGACTAATCAGTTGCTCTCCTCCTACTCCTGTCTGGTTCCAATGCTCAATTTGCTGCCAGACCTCCCCTCTCTCTTTCCCTCTTTCTCCCCATCTCTCGCCTTCACTTCCACCCCCCGCACCACACCCCTTTTTAATCACCTCCCTCCATCCTCCTCTGGCTCTCCTTCCCCTTCATTTTTCTTTCTATCCACCCTCTCCCACTCCCTGTTTTCCTTCTCCCTACTAGTTCAGCCACACAACACACACAAAACCCCAACACCCAGTCATAATCCTATATTCATAAAACATATTTAAGAACAAAACCAAAAACTCACAACAACATGCAGAACCACCAATCTTGCAATCCTGTCACTGTAAATCAAAGAGTTCTCTCTTGCTACCCATTGAATTATATGAACTTTGATTAAACTGCAATCTTTTTAGGCGGGGAACTGTTATTCTTATGCCAGTAAAGTGTCTAACACAATTGTGGATATTAAAAAGTAAATCATGAGACCAGTATCAAAGCCACCTGTTCCTTCCAGAGTTTTGGGAAGGAGGGATAGCTCAGTGGTTTGAGCATTGGCCTGCTAAACCCAGGCTTGAGTTCAATCCTTGAGGGGGCCACTTAGGGATCTGGGGCAAAAATCAGTAATTGGTCCTGCTAGTGAAGGCATGGGGCTGGATTTGATGACCTTTCAGGGTCCCTTCCAGTTCTATGAGATAAGTATATCTCCATATATTATTATAATGCATCTTACACCAAATCTCCTGAGATCATATTTCAATAAAAAGAGGCACGCAGTGTTTGTTGGCTTAAATCCCATCTATCTAGCAACATATTCCTTTCAGCTAAACTCCCAAAGGCTACTGGTAAGTATCTGCATATTTTTATAGCTACCAGATGTAAAGATTATTTTACCTGAAGGAACAAAATTTCATCTCAATGTGCAGAAAATTATTTGCTTAATTCCCAGAACAAAGTTGAGAATATACGCTTTCATCTGGGTTTCAGACTTGTATTAATGAATTAACATTTTGAAAGGTTTCCTTCTCACACTGGAAAGAAGAACTAATGAATAAAAGTACATTGTCAAGGGTCCCTTTGACAAGTAGATAATGCTAGTTCTCACATTACAGTACACTGGACACTTGCACAATGTACAGCTGGCAAGAGGATAGTTATATATCACAGTAAATTAACTAATTTCTAAGCTGACTGCCACTGATTTTCATAACATAACCTGATTTATTAGGCTGGAATTTTCAAATCCCTGCCTGCAGGTCTGAGTCTAACTTAATGAAGAACTGATAATAGGAAATTCCATTCCCAATAATGATCACAGTACCCAAAATGGGTGCAAGCTACTGCGCTTCCACCTTATACAAGGTTTCTCTCTACAATGTGTGTGTCATTTAGTCATTGCTATTTCAGAACTGTGAATGTCAAGAGTCTACAAGTCAGGTTTCTTCTGTTCTATTCCCATTTCTGACAATGATATTCAGTATGGCCTTGCCTTGCCTCTATGCCTCAGTTTGCTCATCTGCAAAATGGATTTAATATCTTCCTATTCCACAGCAATGTTCTACAGCTTCTATGAAATAAGCTGTTTTAGTAGAATTTTATTAACATTAGATTTTAATAATTTTATTTCCAACATTGTTATACATTGCCCTCACTAAGTATGCACAATATTCATAGCACACACACCCATATATAATATTATAAACAGACAGACAAGTCAAGCTCTCTTACATTTCACAAAATCTTATTTTTGGTGAAACATTCAACATCTACTGGTAACCTTCTTCCCACCCACCCCTCTCCCATCCCCCCCTTTTTTTAAGCTTTCTGGTAGCAGTCTGAGCAAAGATGTATTTGTTTTAATCAAACATGAACATAACAGTAACTGTATCCAATCCTTCAGTGTTATATCCCTTGTCCTTGCCATATCCTCATCCCCACCATCTGTCATCCCTTTCTCTGTTATGTTTAATCTACATTGTAAACTCCTTGAGGAAATGCTATTACACATGGATATGCTTCCCTGAATACAGCGTTTAAAGCTAATGAGAGTTGAGCACTTACACTGGTCTACAATTTTTGAGAAGTCGTCTGCTTCAGAGATAAAATGTGCTATTTATTATGTATTTT